CCCTATCAAGTAGGTGTTCTGACTATCTTTATTTTACAGATGAGGCACAGAGAGGTTAAGTGACTTGTTCAAGGTCACGTATACAATCAACAGTAGAGCTGGGATCCAGCCTAGGCAGCCGGGCCTTAAACCTGTGCTCTTAATCATGTAACACAGAGACAACAGAAAAATGAGTGCTGGTCTTCATGGTGTCAAAGGTTCCTGGAACTGGGCTTTGCCACATGTAGCCCCTGAAGCCTTGTGATGCTTCCTACAATTGTGGGAAATGTGATGTTTTCTCTCACTTTGGTGCCTTTACCACCGCTGAGGCCAGACCACAGCTGGTATCTGGTAAGGCTTCAGTGCCGAGCCCTGTGGAACAGTTTCCTGCAGAGCAGGACACAGGCATCTCAAAGCCACAGGCCAGTGTGGACAAGGATCCATGCTGGAACCCAGGAGCAGCAATCCCTCACCAGGCTGAGGAGACCATTGTCACGAACATCTCTGCTATTCAGACGAGAAAACAAAAGCTTCAGAATTCCTGGAGCACTCTTTCTCAGCTCATTATTATACAGCAACTCTTAGGATCCCCATTTCACGTTTGATCCCCTTTCTAGACTGAAAACTTCACAGGGACCCTGCGGGGGACCACAAGGACCAGCTGAGAACCTAGCATACCCATGGATGAATGAATAAGTGACAAATGGAACAGTGGCCTACATTCACGGAGCTAGTCAGACCTCGACCTTTCAGAGCCCTTTCTACTCCTCACTCAATTCTGAGCAGGCTGAAAGAAAGACTTATTCACTGAGAGCAAAGGAGAAAGTTCCTCCATGAGGCAGCACTTCTTGGAGCATAAATATGACACAACTTAAACACAAGAAGAACAAGCATGGGAGAGGGAGAGCACATGAAGGTGCTGACTCCTGGCAGCCTAGGTGCATGGCTGGGTGCACAGTTGGGGGCAGTGGAGACTGGATCTGGACTGGCCCCTGGGACTGTGGACTAGAAGAGGGGCTGTCTGTGCTTGCTGGCTGGCTGAGCGGGAAGAGAGCATGGACTGTCATGGGGCCTGAATACAAGGAGTAAAGTGCTGAGCAGAGGGAGACTGGCCAGAGTTCCCTTCTCAGTGTGGGGATAGAGAAGCAGCCCGTGTGTTCTAAGGAGCTAGAACGACAGGTGCGCGCTACCACATCCGACTAATGTTTTGATTTATTGTAGAGATGAGGTCTCGCCAAGTTGCCCAGGCGGGTCTCGAACCCGTGGGCTCAGGCAATTTACTCACCTCGGCCTCCCAAGGCGTGGGACTACAGGCTGAGCCACCGAGCCCAGCAGCCTGTGTGTTCTACAGACCCAAAGAAACTGTCTATATCAGTCGCCAAACCAGGACATGTGCTGCACTTGACTGCTTCAAAGCATTTTCCCTGAGTGGATCCCTTACTTGCCAGGGAGGGGCTACTGGGCTCATTTTATAGCTGCAGAGACCCCAGGAGGCAAGAGTGACTGTGCAGAGGCCACATGGAGAGCTGGAGCTGAGAACTCATACTCCCAACCCCAGCCTGGGCCAGAGCCACACCCTCAGGCCAGGGTGTGTGCTGGCGCCTGGGAAGTGGAGCCACTCAGAAGGGCTGAGCCCCATAGCCTTGTTTCTCAGCCAGGAGTTTGGACTGACCCAGGCTGACCCCTCTCAAGCATCCAGTTAATCAAAACCAGTCTGTGCTTCCCCCCCTGTTCAGGGGTAGGCTCCAAAGAGCAGGACAGCCATTAGGAAGAGTCAGGTGATACAAAGAATCTAATTTGCCAAATAGCTCTGGATCCATCGGCCCTCCAGGAGGCCATGGGAATCAGAGGTCACTTATGTGCAAAACAAGCCCAGTCTTAGCACCCCCAGCATGTGCTGATTTTGAGCTATAACAACCATTATTGTAGTTGACAGTAATGGTGGGCAATTACCACCAGTAATGGTAGGCCGGAGGTGGACAACCTGCACAGTCATCCAGGTCCCTCCGCCCCCACGGGCATGAACAGTGCCAGTCCATGGGCAGTGCGCCTGCTCTCTGCTCTTTAGGTCTTCCATAGGGCCTTGGAAACTCTGGGAATGTGCTGTTTGGCCTTTGGGAGGCATCCAAGAAGTTATCTGTTGCTTTTTAGATTGGTTTCATTGCGCAGACTAAAAAATCAGGAGAGATGACCACATAAGAATCCTAAGGAGAGAAACTACTTCTTTATAACATGCTGGTTAACATGGACCGGGACTGAGGCTGCCAAAGTGGTATTCTGGATAACTCTGGATTCCTGCCTCACTTGAAAGTCAGGATCTAGCCACCTGAGGCTTGGAGGGATGATGCATGTGTGCCCAAGGTCCCAGACAACACCAGCTGCAGCATAATTCACATGATGTCCAGCCCCCAGAAGTATCCAAGCTCCCCTAGGAATTCTCCATTCTGCCTTCCAGTATCATCTCCCACCTCTGCTTAACCAGGTTTCCCATGGCCACTCTGCACAGAAACCAAACTCCGGCCACAGCCCACCAGACCCCATGTGGTCTAGCCTCCCATTCCCTCATCCTGGGCTCCCCCACCCTGCCCTTTGTTCTGCTTTTCACATGTGCCAGGTCCATTCCCACCACAGGGCCTTTGCACAGGCCAGGTCTGGCATAGTTCCCTCATACTTCCCACACAGCTCTTTCTCATCATTCAGCTTCAGCTCAAATGTGGTCTCCTCAGAGAGTCCTTCAACTCCAGCCACTGTCTATTCCACCAACCAATTTATTTCCTTATGAACTTCATTGCCTTCGAGAAATAAGCCCTACAGCTAACGTGCCTGAACACTGACTCTGGTATTTCCCTAACTTGATTGGACTTCAGTTTCCTCACATATCACCAGGGTCGCAATCCAGCCTTAGCTGTGCCGTGGTGAGGGTGGAGTGAGCTGGTCTGCAGGCGGCGCTCAGGCCCAGCTCAGAGTAGGAAGACAGCCCTGGTTGTGGGTGCTATCACTGTTCCCACATCATCACTTTTCCCAACCTCATTCCGGTGGGTGGACACCAAAGTGTGTAACCTCCTCAGCATAGCAGATGCCTACAGGTCAAACCAGGACCCCTGATAAACAGGCCATGGCTGCCGTCCTGATCACGCTGACCTCCCTTCCTGTGTGCCCCTTTCAACCAGAGGTCTCACAACTTCGCCTAGAGTCCTGCTGGGGCACAAGCCACTCTTTAAAGGAACAGAGCACACATAACTGGGCTGATAAAGAGCTCGGATACTCTGGCCTTGGGGACTCTGCAGCTTGTTCAGAGCAGTGGCCCTGTACACTTGGCTCTCCTGATGAAAGCAGGACTCCCTCTGCCATACTGGTTCACTCTCTCCCCCATAAATCTGCTTCTTTTACATCCCTGTTGAGCTCAAAGCCTGTTTACAGGGTCTGCCTTCATCTTGGGCAGCTTGACCCCACGGCCTACAGCTGGGAGGTCTCATAAGCAGCAAAATGAGCTCCTGACCGCCGGGAGCCACCTGGGCGGAGTCTGGACAATATGACTGGAACAAGTGCCCAGGAGCCACAGAGCTTGGTCTTTATGTCCTTTTGGGGACACTGCAGTGCTGGGGATTAGCAGGCCCGTCTTGTCTTTAAGGAAACAAACATTAAGCATTTTAAGGAGCCCATTAAAGTATTTCTACTTTATTGCCCCAGTTTTGTTCTTTTTAAATGTTTTTGCCTTAACTTTCTCAGGAACTGTTTTCTAATAAAAATCATGCCAGGGGTCCCCAGAGTCTCACCTCACAGTCTCCTGTCAGCCTCACTGGAGGCTAGCACTTAATACCCAGGTTCTTGTTCCATCCTCTGAATACCCTGCTGGGTCTGCACCATGTTCCCCGTTTTGTGAATGAGGAAGCTCAGGCCCAGAGCAGTGGCTGGAGCTGCCCGAGGAATGGCTTCCAGTGAGGGAGGGGAGGAGCTGGATTTACACCCAGGTCCAGTTGACCCACAGCTCAGGATGTGCCCTTTTTGTTCCCTGTTTTCAGTGTACAGGAGGCCTCTCCCTGCCCTTGAACCTCTAGCATCTTCTCCTTGCCAAGGGTCAGTGATGTGGGGAGGGGCTCAGGCTGGGGCAGTAGGGCTATCCCATTCTTCTTCCTTGCATCTACTCCCTTGATAACTCAGGATGGCTAGGCCCCAGAAGCCTTGGCTTTTGCCTCTGCTTTCACAGCCTGCTCTGCTGCAGCACACAGCCCTGTCGCGAGATTCTAGACCTTGCCATTATTTTAAGCAAGAGATGCCTCTGTGCCTTTGCAAATGCTGTCCCCTTCATCTGGAAGCCCTCTCTTCCAAGCACATGTGTCCTGGTTTCTGGCCACCTCTGCTCCCACCTCACAGCCCTGCTGCTCTGAGCCCAAACTCCAGATCTGACTATGAATGCCCTGATACCAAGTATCTTCACCTGCTGGGCTTGCTGGAGGCCAGGCTACATCCCAGCCTTGGTTTGCCCCAGTCTACCTAAACCCTCCTCCCCAGGCTGGCCTGCCATCCTACCTGGCCTCCAGAACGCAGGCTCCTGACCACAAGGACCCTCTGCTGGCTGGGGACCCAGTGAACATGCGGCAGGTAATCGATGGTGCTGCTGCCAAGCTCAGTGATACATGGAAGTTGGCACATGGCTGAGTAGGCCTGAAGTCCCCTTTGGAGAAGGAGACTATGGAGAACCCCACTCTTCCTGGCCATAGCCTGTCCCAACCCAGAAAGGAAAATAGTTTCTCTGGTCACATCTGCCACTTGTGGCCCCACCTTGTCTCTACATATAAAAAGAGAAACTCCAACAGCCTGGTGTAGCAGGCAGAGAGAAGGAGCTGGAAGGATTTCCACGCGGAACCAGCACCGGAAGTAAAAACAGTCATTCAGGCCACCACCAAAATTCCCTGCTTTGATTCTGAGTTATTGGAATGAAGATGTGGAGAAGGATTTGCAGGGGGCCGCCTGTCTCTGTTCAAGCGGGGGCATACCCAGTCGACACAGGACATACTCACCGTTGGAGCGGTGGATGCAGGTATGCTGGTTATCACTAAGGAAAAAGCCACTGTGGCACTGACACTCGTAGCTGCCCATGGTATTGACACAGATCTGCTGGCAGCCACCATTGTTGTCCTGACATTCATCCACATCTGCAAGAAGAGGAAGAGAAGGGGAGAAAATGACACCTGAGTTGAAAGCAGGACGTGATGGGCTGGCGGGATGTGGGTGCAATCAGTTTCCCCAGACTGCACTGAAGGGGTTCCACAGAATGACCAGGACTCATGGCACTACACTGTGGTGGTACTCTGCCACAGTCTTCAGTGGTATTTCACGGAGGTACTGCATAGCAGTACTCTGTGGTGTTATTCCACAACATTATTCCATAGTGCTATACACAATGCTATGCTATAGTGGTATTCTATGGTGTTGCTCCATAATGGTACTCCACACAGTGCGATATTACATTGGTACTTTACAGTGGTACTCAGTGGTACTCCAAGGAGGTACTGCATGGTGGTACTCTATGATGTTACTCCATAATAGTACTCCATAGTGCTGCACACAGTGCTACACTACAGTGACACTCAACAGTGGCACTCCACTGACATACACTTTGGTGGTACTCCACAAAGGTACTCCATGGTGATATTCCACCATGGTACTCCCCAGAGTGATTCCCTAGAAGTAGCCAGTTACGATGGTTATAAAGCTTGTTGACCCTGCCTGAGTACCTCCTGTGTGTCTGGCACAGTTCTAACCATCTTACCTGTATTAATTCCTTTAATCCTCACAGCAATCCTGTAAGTCGGATTCAGGTACTAGTTCAATTCATAGATGAGAACACTGAGGTTCAAAGAGGCAGAGTCACCTGTCCAAAGTCCCACACATGGCAAGTGGCAGGATTTAACCTGGTGGTCTGCCTCCCAAACCTGGGCTCTCACTGACATCGCCAGACTCCCCATCTCTGGGAGGACAGCACACCCTGCACAGGCTCCCCAATCTGCGGAGCTTCACAACTATACCCCACCATCCCTCTTTCTTCAGCCACCCCAGGCTTTTCAGCAGCAGCACAAGACCTCGGGCTGGCGCCCAGGGCAGCACCCTGAGGCTCTGTGCCCTGCAAACTGATTTCAAAAGCCTGGAGAATGAGGAGGTTTTAAGAGGCCCTGACCTCTGGCTGCCAAGACTGCAGCGGAAGGCTGCCAAGTGATCTTTCTCGCTCTCTGGGAGAGACAGACCTCAGGGGCGACACTCATTTCTGACCAGAGGCCGCTGGCACAAAGGGTGCTATTGGCTGAAAAGAGTCTTTATGGAGTTCTGGTCTTGAACAGAACAGCATGTTTCAATTACCAAAGTCATAACCCCCTACTCTGTCAGTTTGTTTAATGAAAGAAGGGCTTCTTAAACCTTAATGTTCCATGTCTGTATTGTCATTTTAATAGGCAAATATATAAAACCACAAAGGCAATGTGAGCTACTGGCTGCTTCAAGCCAATCCCCGGCCCCCAATACACATACACACACACACACACACACACACACACACACACACACACACACACACACTGTGGCATTAAGCTTTTGATACAGTTCTTTTTAACACAGATATCTTTTACTCCTGGGATCAAAAGGATGTGAAAAGGTGAAGAGTCAGGTGGGTGACCTGCACTGAACCAGGAGAGGACTCAGCTGTAGCATGTTTTGAGCTAGGTCCTATTTGGACTCATGGACAACAGACTACTTTACCACCCAAGAGATTGTACAGCTGCCTTTGAGGCCAACGGCGAGGTCATTATTCTTTGGCAAGCTCAAATGTCAGCAGCGTGAGCAGCCAGAAGCAGGAGGCAGAGCTCTGAACTCTAAAAGCCACCAACCGTTACAGCTAAAATGGCAAAGTGGCTCTTGCTGAGAGGAGCCACATGATAACACCACGACCGGAGGGTCTCGCCCAGCGAAGCCTGGGAAGAAGAGAGATGGATTATTCTGAATACCTTTTTCCATTCCACAAAGTCTTGCTTAGGGCTCCCTCAAAGCCCAATGTCAATGTTGCCTTTGCCAGGGACAGTCCCAAGGTGTGGCAAGTGCCTGCTTGGGGTCTGCCTCCAGTCTGCGATAAGCCAGGCACTGTGTTCTACTCATCCTATTAACAACACAATGTCCCTTGAGTGTTTACCATGTGTCAGGTGCTGGCTTACTCGATCTGCACAGCTACCTGTATGACTTCATTTTACAGATCAGGACATGGAGGCACAGATCTGAAGTCACTCGTGTATAGCCACACAGTGGGTCAGAGTGAAGGCAGGACTGAACCCTGCTGTCTAGCTCCAGAGCATGTGCCTTTGGCACCCATGCTATCTGGCCACACCAACAAGTGTGTTCAGACTAATGCTGCAAAGAGCCAGCTGTTCCTCACGTGAAGCTAGTCTCATGCCAACCTGAGCAGGTGTAGGTGAACCTGAGATGTGGCTTGCCACAAGTAGCATCGAGAATGACCCAGCATTCCTGGGGTTATTCCCATCTCAGTAAGATCCTGCAGATACATCCATGCCCACTCATGTCCTGGCACACACTTGACAATGAGATCTGAATATGGGCAGCTGTCCCTGGGCCTCAGTTCCGATCCCTCTTCTGCTATAGCCAGTGCTTTTCTTCTCATGGTTGTTAGATTCTTTGCTTTGTACCTTGGCTCCCCCAGCTCTAGCAAGGTTCAACTGCAAAGCAAACAAAACAGATATAGACCCTCAAATGCTGAATTCCTTATGCAGAAATGCTACCTTGTCCCCACCATGAATAAGCTCCCTGGTGCCACCCATGTGCAGCCATCTGGCCTGGCCCAGACCTCAACGAAAGTTAGGACCCAAAGGGCAGTTGACAAAACACATCTAGAAACCCTCAATGACCTGGCAGGGTGACTGGGCCTTGGAACAGGGCTGTTTACACTAGCAGGGAACAATGACTCGCCAACACTGATGAATAATTTGAAACAAATGCAAGGCCATGTAAACATTTCTTTTCCCCACTCCCAAATGATAAAGCCCAAGATTAAGGAGGCGGGAAGAGAGGGCTGCCTTCCTGCACCCTTTCTCCAGTATGGTCCAAACATAGGCCTCACCCTCCGCCTCTGAGTAGTGCAGGAAATCACGGCTGCCAAAATCCCTTTGGACAGCCTGAGGCCGTTACCAACATCTCTAGGGGCTGGATTAAGGGCAGCTTGCACCCCTGTGTCTCCAGCCCTCCAGCAGAGCACCATGGGAAAGAGTCACTTGCTCTCTCCGAGGGGTGGGGCAAGTCCAGCACACTCTTGCCCCATGCTCCTCCAGCACTAGGTATCTTCTATTATGAGAAGTGCCCTCATGGCAAGAAGAACACCCATACCTAGGAGTCAGGCCCTTGAGTTCTGCTCCTATCCTGCCCTGCAGCCCGGGGGTCATAGGAAGTGCTCCCAGAACTTCAGGGGCTGCAGACTGGGTCTCCTGAAGAGCCTGTGGCACATGCAGACCGCTTCCTTCTCCGTCCCATGGAACCAAGAGTTCCGTGCACTGATGTGTCCTGTGCAGTTGGACCCTGGGTGGGAATTCCACCACCCCTATGTGAGCCCACAGAGGTGAGTAGCAAGGTTGGTGGAGTGGGGCTGGCAGCATACCATAGATGACAGCATTCACTACTGGCCAGGCCCTGCCTGACTCAGGCACTCAGGCACTGTCTTAATAAATTCACACAACAGCTCCACACTGGGGGCGTTATCATCATCCCTGATTCTCAGACGAGAAAACTGAGACCCAGAGAGGGCAAGAGACTTGCCCAAACTGTAAAAGGGGAAGAAGGGGGACAACCAAGCCCTCTGGTCCAGGACAGAGCAATGAAGTAGTAAACAAAGGCAGGCCTGGTGTAGAAGCCAGGATAGGGTGAATTCTGCTGAACACCAGGAAAACTACAGAGGAAGGGGCTTGGCACTGGGTTTTGGAGAGCTGAGCATGTAGGGTCGGAGAAGTTTATAAGCATAAATGCCCAGGTGACAGTCTCACCACCAAGATTGGGTTTGAAGGGTCCTTGTTCAGAGAAGCTGAATCATGGAAAAATAGAGTGAAGGCTTTGAACTCCTGTCCCTGCTCTGGGGTGAGGACATCCCTAAGTCTTCTTTATATTCCTCCTCCTAGTGGAGGGTTGAGCTAAGAGTGGGTGCTCAAGCATCAGGAGGATAAACTGGATGGGAGTCTGTGCTTGCACACATCAGTGTCAGGGAGCTCACTTCCCCCACCACGAGTCCAATGGAGCAGAATGCTACCCTGGTCCCCCCAGACTCAGGAAGGGGACTCATTCAAGACTCTCCACAGTCTGCCCAACTCTCCAGCTCCTCTCCAGTAGCCCCCAACTTCTGCAGATCTCTGAAGACACCCTACTTTTTCACACTTGTCTGTGTGTGCACATATACCCTTCTTCAGGAACAGCCTTGCCCTCTTCTTGTCCAGACTCAAGTTCTTCTTGCTCTTCTTAATTCACCTGAAAAGTCTGGGCCCAGATCTTTTTCAGTCACTCCACAAACACTGAACACCTAATATGTGCCCCACTCCCCATGAGCTGCCAGGGATGCCAAGCTGCCAGTGCACTGGGCCAGAGCACAGGGATGAGAGGCTTCCTGGAAGAGGTGATGTGGGAGCTGGGCTGAGGAGATTTGTGACTTGGGGCTGGAGGAGGTTAGAAGAGCCTGGAGGGGGAGGAGGTGCTCTGAAAGCAAAGGCTCCTAGAAGGGGTAGGGCTGGGCTCACATGGGGAAAAGTCTGTGACCATGCCCACAGGAGGAGAGTTCTGGAAGTGACCATGGAGAAGTGGCTGGGTCTTGAAGCTGGGCTAAGGTGAACAGGAGAGCCAGATCCTGGACTTGGAGGTGAGTGCTAAGCTAGGCTCCAGTTGCTTAGTGGCCTGCAAATTGCCAATGGAGGCCACACAGGGCTTTCGAAAACCCTGGCCCTGTTCGGGTCCTCACACCAGTCTAGCTGGCAGGAGTAACAGCCCTTGCAGAAGACATCTGTGCAGCCTGACATGCGGAGTGTCACCAACCAGTGAGGCCTCAGGCAGGGCTGAGCCTGTGTGTGGTGAGGGCCCTGAGCGGGCCTGTTTCCAGTCCAGGACTTGGAATCCCTGAACAGGC